TGTTTATTTACTTGAAATTTTCACACCACTTGAACTGAAAGTTTTTAATTGAATTTTGTAAATGTTGATATCTACACATTTCCTTTAAATACGTGTGATAATTTTTATCATCAGATTTTTTATTTATCAGTTGCAATTAAGAATATATTAATCTTACTTGTACAAACAAAAGTTGTAATATGGCATTTTTCAGAGCACTTCCTTGGTGTTAGCTAACCGAGAACAAGTACATCAAATGATTAAGGACTTAGAAAATATAAAAATGGATAACATTACTATTGAGTCTATGCTTCTGTGTGAGAACCCTGATGTTCATTTGAAAAAGAGAATTGAAAAAGGTGAGTAATTTGTATATTCCATAAAGAATTTTATACTTGGAGTCAAGTCATTAATATGCCACTTCATCAGTGAATGATACTAAATACTTGACGTTTCAAAATTTATGTGGTTGATGCAAATATGTATGTCCATTATTTTGTCTTAACAATGTGTACAATAAAGAACAGCAAAATACCTTTTGGTCCATTTAGGTTGCCCTATCCACTAAACTGAACTAAAATCTTCAAGAAACAAAAAATCAAAGCCAGCCCATTATCATACAAATATTTAGCAAGCTTTCCCTTAAACTCTCTTAAATTAATTGCATGCACCACATCTGAAGGCAACCCATTCCAGAAGCCAGCCACCCTGTAGAAAAATATAGCTATCTTAGCTTTCCTGCCAAAATTTACATTTATGACCCCTAGTCTTACCATTCTCACCATTAAATATGAAACAAAAAAATGATGCATCAACACTATCTATTTTCTTAACAATCTCAAACACCTCAATCAGATCCCCTCTAACTTTTCGTTTTTTAAAATAAAACAAGTTCAGAGATCATAACCTTGTATGATAACCTTTTCATCCCAGCTATCATCCTAGTTGCCCTCCTCAGAATCTTTTTTTTTCAAACATTTATTTCAACATTCTTTCTAAGGTACGGAGCCCAAGGTTGAACACAATATTCCGAATGTGGCCTAACCAATGACCTATACAATGATACTATAACCTGTTTATACTTATATTCAATATATTTAATGGCTTTTATTTTTTTTCCTAAAACAGGTTTTTCACAAGTTTTGTATTTACTGAAAAAACAAGCAAATATAGATGAAATCACGGAATGGGTGGATAATATTATAAAAGAATTATTTGGAAAGGTGTGTATTTACTTGTATGGTTAAATTTGTTAGAAGTAGTTATTACTCTGAATTCTTTTTAACCTTTCAACAAAAATCACACTAAAATTGCTTGATTCGTTTTTACAAAAACAAAGAATCTATTTGAGTTAAACAGTATTAAAACTTCACATATCATCTAAATGTAGTTAGCGTATTAAAGATATTTTGGGAAGGGCTTTCTCTAACTTTTGGATCATTAAAAAAAGAAATTATATTAGCTGATTGTTGATCAAAGTCATAAAACCTTTGTTATATAGATGATGTTTGAGATTACAAAACAACTAGATTGGAAGTTTCAAAACTGAGCACATGTATAGTGCACTATCATATAGTATATGGTACATGTCATATAGTGCACTATCACATAATATATGGTACATGTCATATAGTGCACTATCACATAATATATGGTACATGTCATATAGTGCACTACCACATAGTACATGGTACACGATGTGTAATGCACTACCACATAGTACATGGTACGTGTTGTGTAATGTACTACCACATAGTACATGGTACGTGTGGGGGATTTCACTACCACATAGTACATGGTACGTGTTGTGTAATGCACTACCACATAGTACATGGTACGTGTTGTGTAGTGCACTACCACATAGTACATGGTACGTGTTGTGTAGTGCACTACCACATAGTACATGGTACGTGTTGTGTAGTGCACTACCACATAGTACATGGTACACGATG